CTAAAAAAAAGGAAAAAAAGAAGAAAAAAAAAACAAATGAAATGTTAGTATTTAGTTTTAAAAAGGTGTCCAAATATTACAGATATACGGCATCAAACACACATGATAGTGAAACCTATAATCACATTATTTAAATGTGACATTTACTTTAAGGCTTGAAGTTAAACTTCTTTATGAAAACAGTGTAAAAAAGACCCAAACTAGAAGCAAATTTATTCATTTTAAAACCCACTTCTGACTTACATGAAATAGTGTAACATAAACTGAATATAATTGCTTGTGATGTAAGATGAAAGGATAGCAAAGCCAACGCCGACTCAATGCTAAACCCGTATTTTCCCTCCTCTGATGTAACAAGAGAGAATATCTTTTTTTCTGAATATTGGCGTATTTGTATAAAAGCTGCAAATTCACGTGACTTGATACATTATGAAATTCTGACTTTGCTTTACAAACCTTACAAAAAAGGGCAAAATAGGTTGACTGCTGAATCTGAATTGGCCATAGATGTGAAAGAAAGTGCGTCTCTTTGTATTCGTCCGACTGACAATCTGTTCAGGGTGTAGTCTGCTTCTTGGTAAGCATCAGCTGGAAATATTGAGGCCCTCGATGATTCATAAACTAAAGCCAGYTTATTATTTTACATGGAAAAACGGCCAAAAGTAAGAAAGGAGATCAGCAATGTTTTTTTTTATTTTCTAAACCTTTTCATACTGAATGAACTCGAACATTTTGTAACTTTTATCATGAATGCATAAAAGACATGCTTGCATCAATAGCATTAAATAAAAAAAATTAATTTGACAAGTCTGGTTTCTGCATTTTGTGTTTGAGGAATCCCCTAAAAAAGTCAGTATGCATGCAATATTTTCAAAATAAAACCTTCCACAAAATATTTTGACATTACTGAACATTCATTAGTTTGAAAATATCTAAGTTTACACTTTTACTCACTGTATACATAGCCTATAACTTATACTGTAAAATAAGAAATTGTTTTTAAGATCAGATTAGGACTTTTTTAAAGCAATCATGTTTCAGTAAACACAGTATCTGAAATAGCTGCCACAAATCACTAAGTGTTCATCAGACTTGCTTATACACGTAGCAGTTCAGTATTTACACACTCTGTAGAAGGCAGATGTAACATTACCTGGTGTGCTGCATTTGCAGGAGTGTGTGATGTTCATGCAYGCTTTTGTTTGTCTTTAAGACGTACAGGAAAAGGAAGAAGCCAAACCACACAGACAGATATCCGCCTCTGSTAACTTTGCCTTGTGCAGCTGAGATGAAGTCTGGTGTTTCTCAGCTCCATAAGTCTGCAGTTATTATCATAATAATGTCTTGTTTCAAGTCGCCCTGAAACGCCTCTAGCGCCGCTGCACCGATTAAGAAATCTTAATTAAGCTTTTGTAGATTCTCCTTCATCAGACCTTGCCTCATTTTTTTTTACAAACACTCATATTCCTCTAGTGCTGTTATTTAAGAGCCAAAACTTCCACCTAAATGAAGAAGGTGTGCAGAGAGACAGTGAAAGAGACAGAAAGCAAAGCCCATGTTTCAGCGCAAGCTTTCAAGTTCCCCATCCCCTCCCCCCCTCTCTCTCGGGGCATTTAAGTATTAGATATCCCTGTGCTGATCCGCTTGTTGTCACAGCAATTTCCCCAGTTGCTCATCATACTTAAACTCCTCTCTCATTTCCATTATAATTATCCCAGACAAAGCTCACCTGAGATTTACACCGAAAGACAATTTAGTTTCACCTCTGCAGCGGCGCAGCATGACACTCTATGTGTAATGGATAAGACGGCTCGAGCTGCTAGGAAGACAAGTGCCATGTCTTTGTTGTTCACAGAGGTGAGGAAATCTTCCTGTTGGGAGCTCACAGGTTTCTGTTTGCAGCGGTGGCTGTTATTTTGATGCTGTAAGAGTCAAATCGAATTAAGAGCAGAGCTCACTTGAGGTATTACTAAGCAGCAGCCTCATCTGGGAACAATGCCAGCAGTACTGGTCGATTAAACGGCCGAGGCTGTCATGAACTACATTGTGGGACATTAGTACTGGRTTGCTTCATTCATCTGTGTTTTCGGGGAACAACTGTCTTAATTAAGCATCGTGSACGCTGATGGATTGGCCGAGTTCACTATTAGAAATATGTCCGACGACTCAAGCCATTTTACTTTGCTTTGCGCCTTAAGGTGCCATTACAGTCACTGCAAAGTCATGCAGAAATGTAAAACAAACTGCCTTTTTTTTCCTTTGTCATATCAAGGTGTCATATCAAGGGTTAATGTAACCTTAAACCAAAAGACTTGAAAGCAACATTTGCAACAAGAAACTGTTGTTTGATATATTTGGTTTCATTCTTTGTAAGTAACCTTTAAGTAGTGTTGGCAAAAAAAAAAAAAGCTATATTCACTGGCCAAAGTAGCACAGAGTAGGATACATGCAGCATGTCAGATGGAAAGGTTTGTTCGTATGTAAGTGTGACAAAACAAATAAGGCCAGACGACCCAGTTTGTTAGCTGTGTACACGCTTGTTTCAGTTAGGCTTACAGCAAAATTATAATTAGTCTGGGAGTAGCGCACAGCATCTCGGTGAGGATTCAAACAGCCGCTGCTCTGTGCTTTCAACATCTGCTTCTCTCAGTGATCCCTACAACAGGGCCTGGGGAGAGCGAGCAGTACTAATTACTAATAAAACTAGCTAAGCTCATTGCTGTGAATTATTGCAGCTTTATCTGAAGTGGACCAGAAATCGCTCCCGAAGCTAAACGGCTTTGAGATACAAGGAGGGATCACAGTTCAGAACTGTGTCTGGTCTGGATTAGCGCTTTGCTCTTCTATAGTGGTGTAATGGTTCTACTGACTGGACACAACTGCAGGGCTCGGGGGTTAAAGAAAATTGTGATGTACACCAAACAGGCTTCAACAGAGCTCGTGGAGACAGWTGAGATGGAGGATGACTAGCTGTGGCAACTCCTAAAGGGGGAACAAAAAAGATCTGAGGCTTGACATATGAGGTGCCATTTGCAAAGTTACACAGTCAAAAATTACCACCAACATTTTTGTTTTATTTAGCTTTTTAT